GACAGTTTTGGCGACCAAAATCACTTGTTTTACAAGCTGGATCCTGGGTTACTTGTCACAATTTCCTTATCCTCTGCTTATATTTTAGCAGACTCTCCAGACCAGAGAGATGCTTATTTCAGTCTGAGTGTAATTTTTCTTGTTGATAGCCTATATGCCAAAGCTATGGAGGCAGTAAAGTTGCTGGCCGCTTTATCGGCTTCTTCCCGAGTTAATTAGACCGTAGTCCATGATTTATTTAATCCGTCTTGCAGTGCATACACTCATTTATCTCCTTCTCTCCCTCGCACTACATGTTTCGGCATAATAATGCCATCTTCAGGTGCTTACTTATCCACGTCAAACCAGTTCATTGCATGCCATGTTCACACATTAAAATAACTAAAATATGTATCTATCATATACATTGTCAAACGTTAAAAATATTAAAATTGTTCAGGATACCACATCGCTACGTCGCCCCTCACTACGTCAGTCACGCCCATTCTCCTTTGTTGGAGCACTCCTTCATTATCTTGTGTGTTGTGCTTTTGTTGTGTCGTGCTCCTGCGACTGCGTGTGTTATACTGTTGGGCTTCCCAGGAAACATGTAGTGCGAGGGAGAGAAGGAGATAAATGAGTGTATGCACTGCAAGACGGATTAAATAAATCATGGACTTAAATCAGTGCAACAGGACGCTAAAATATAACATTAATTAGACCATAGATGAAATTAATTCAGAGTCCAGGCTTTGAAACCGCTCCCAATCTGTGAATTTGTCAACTGGATCTGAAAGCTTCCTAGTTCTAGCATAATTCAGTAAGTGGTAGATGATCGGAGTCCAGAATGTCAGAGACAGTGACTTCTGGCAGTCAGACATTCTTGTGCACAAACATATCGAGCACATCACCATTTCTCACAGTAATGAGAGGGACATTGTGGTGCTGAAACTTCAGACTCTTTTGTATGCAGTAAATTCAGTAGTTTTGCACCTGAAATGTTGGAAATTATGATACTCTAAAATGGATATTTAACATCAGATCTGCCAGTAGTGACTTATGTCTAAAGTTAAAAGCTAAAAAAGATGTCTTTTTCATCGTAGGCTGGTGACTTACAGACTGCTGCAAGTAGCACTTTACTATTACTAATCTGTATACAGGCCTCTGATTCCTACTGAAATGAGCGGACACAGGTCTACACGGTTATGGGGAGTGTCTTTTCTCACTGCAAGGGTAGTTCCACATTTTCTTCCTGGGAAGTTGCCAGTCCAATAAAAGTGATAATTTGGAATAAAGAACCTCTCATGGGGTTTTAGATGCGTCTCTGAAAGCAGAGCCGCATCTATATGTAAGACCTGCAGCTGTGTGCTGAGCTCATTGCGCTGGATCCAAATGCCATTTGCATTAAATGCTATGACTTTGAGTGGTATATGAATTCTAGCAGCAGTTGTGTTTCATTAAGTATCTTTTTGTAATGATCATTATTTTGTCTTCATCTAACACAGCTTCACTGAGCTCTGTCATGACCTTTTGCACTACAGTGGCAACTTTTATCATGTCACTGTTAGACGAACTGGGTGCCTGTACTGGCAGACCTGTTTCCTGAATTTTCTGTTGTGGCACATTTGTTCATATACACAGATACACTCTTCCATAGATCATTTATGTACACTAATCAAATTCAATAAAGATGATTCTGATGATCTTGACCACGCTCAAATCTTATCTTTCATTATATCCCCCCCCCAAAAAAAGTCCAGTAGTATGTATGCAGCTTTGAATATGTATGTTACAATACATATGACATGTAAATATAACCTACCTTTATGCCTACTCAAGTAAGTCATAAAAAGTCCAGGATATTTTTTAGATATTTTGGAATACTGTTAACAATATACTAAAGTGAGCCATCTGTAAAATTACAACAAACATGGTGTTTGAAAGAGATAGATTGTTGGAGATATCTGAATTTTCCAAAATTTGAAGCAATTTTCTGAGACTGTCCAGTCATTTTTCCAAATATTTTGAGATAGATGAAACTGAAATGTGATTTCATTTGTAAAAATTGCCATGTTTTCTTCATATGGGCAGAATACTGCCCTCTCCCCAGAAAAAGCAGAAAAGAGTGGAAAGGAAAATATTGCAGTGCTTGGGCATTTAAGAGGTTAGAAGAAAATAGATGGCCAAAGAGATATACATAGTTGGACCTGCTAGGAAACTGATAAGACAACCAAGAAGACTGTAGAAAGAAGGAATTTTACACATCATGAATTCTAAGGACTGGAACCAGATGACATACAAGACCAGAAGTAGCAATTGGGGATGGCTAGGCAGTGACCACCTGTATAAATCCAACTACAATAAGGAACAGCTTAAGAGTGTGATGATGATAATTCACAGGTAAAACACAGCAGATTAGGTTTATGGTAAGTCTCCAAAAACAGGTGAAATACACACCTATGTTTAAGAAATACAGCAAGCTATGTGAATGATGCTGAACAGTTCTGGTAACAGTTAACTTCATGGAGCAGAGTCCTTCTTGAGAAACTAATAGTTGCTCATCTGCTCAAGAAATTCCTTGCCTTTTACAGAACTGCAAGTCCCTATCCTGAGCCAAATGAATACAGTCCACACCCTCCCATTCTAATCTAGATAATCTTTTATATTATCCTCCTATCTATGCTTAGCAGTTGCAAATGGTCTCACTCCTTCATGTACATGAAGAAGAAAACTGCCAACAAAATTTTGATGGGGAATAAAAGCATATGGCTGTTACTAATTAAGTACATAGTTTTATATGACAGCTGTCGATTTCTATTGAGACGTGGGATATTACAATAACTGAAGTAACTGCACTTCTTAGACTATATGTAATCATTCCTATCATCGGTATTTATATCACACAAAATTATAATGCAAGATATATTAAGATCATTACTCTGGTACACAAGTAACAGGATAAAACAGTCATCAAAACTGATCAGAGTATTTGTCAGTAGCTTGTTTTATGTACATATGACTTAATAGCATTCTTTACATAACTTCATGTGCATCACGAGCAAGTAAAATTAACCTTAGTTCTTGCTACTAACACAAAATGAGTTTTGGCTGAGAATGACATTATATAGCTTGACAAGTATTAAAATGTTATCATAGTATCAGTATCAATGCCATAAAATGGTGTAGCAGTTACCTACAACCATGATATGTACACAACTCAATAAGAAAACATTCAAATAGTCCACACAGTAGTCATTATGTACAATAAAATAACATTAAGTAAACCATATTAACACATAAAAAATAATATTTAAATCAAAGGAAATATTCAGTATGTACATACACACAACAAAGCTATCTGTAAGAGACAATATTAACTTTACAGATATCTCCGGCAAGAAGGAATGAATTACATGATTAAGGCTATAGTCTTCTGGTTTGTGACACCATGTAGTCTTACAGGCAGTTACCACTGATTTGGAGGGACCTGTTGTCTCTAGTTTCTCTGTCATAACAGTGGTGTCAGAAGCTTCCTCCAAAACATTGGTTACTGCCTATGAGATCACATAGTACCACACCCCAAAAGACATCCAACTTTTCACCACCATGAAAATCTCAAATTTCATGTAATTATATAACTGACAATCTAACAATATGAATTTTGTAATACTTGTCTAGTACAGTTTGCTTTCACAAAACATAACCACAGAGCTATGTAGCAACTGCAGTCATCTTAAGCTATTTCCTGGCCAGCAGAAGAAAAGTTTTCATGAAATGGCAGAAACCATCTGCATTTTGAGAAGCATTTGTATCTTATACCTGTATATACATATATATCCTTTCTTTTTTATATATATATATAAAACTGTGATACGATTGACACATTTAGCAATTATAATATAAATACAACTTAGAGCACTGAAAAAATATTAAATATACGACACGTCAAACATCCCTTATTTTTACGTTTACACATCTCACCTGCTTCAATTAGCAAACCTCCTGCTGCATGAGATCCTGATATTATACAAAATACTTGTAATCGTATTTTAATTTACATTATTAACACACAAATCCAAAGATTTTCCCTTTATAACTTCATGCCCAATTTAATTGTTTGACTGCAGAGTATTTTTTGCAAACTAATCCCAGTGACCTACAGAATCATACAAATTTTCTCATTTCATTGTCAAAATATGACAAAGCATGTAAATGTCATGGGCTACACAGGTGCTGTCAAAAGGAAGAGGGGAATTTTACCAGTGTTATCCACGTGAGGCAGTGTCTATATTAGGCTTTAATTTCCAGGGTGGGGTAGTCGAAGAGTTAATACCAGTTCTCTGGTGCAGCAGGACACTCTGCTATGTAACTTGATTCAGACTTACCTCATATTTAATCCATAACATTCAATAAAAATGTTACCACTATCAACAAATTTTTAAAACCATTAACAGATACTGGCTTGATAAATCATTTTAACCACATGTATATCAGTCTGGAATGATCAACTTAAGTTAATCCAGGTAGCTACAAAAATATTTATTTAGATTCAAGGTGGAAAAGATCTTCATGCTATGTACCATTTAATGCAGAAATTCTTTCTTCCAGCAAAATGTTTTCCACATTTTTTTTTGTATGTGGTGATCTTAGAAAAGAGCACAGGACATGTACCATTCATGTGAATACATTCTCTCGTTGATGATGATTGTGATTGATAATGAAACTAAATTTTGTTCAGGTTTAGATGTTCATGGTTTGAATACAAGAAATCGAAAGCAGTTATACTCGTATTTGCCAAACTCGAATCTTTCTGCTTTTCAGAAAGGTGCTATGTTTACTGCTATTAAACTATTCATATTGCCCTTAACCATTCAAAGCCTTAAAGAGGATAGAATTAGTTTTAAAAATAGGCTGTCTTTATATCTTATGAATAATTCCTTTTATACAGTTTCTGAATATGTGGAGCATAACATAAACAATTATTTTTAATTATTCTGTTATCTGTGTTTGTTTAAATTTTTTGTATTTGTTTTTTGATACAAGCTTCATGTCCATTTGTTTTGGACTTGTGAAATGAAATGTATGTATGTATTCCTTATGTCAGTGATGTAATTTTGATAAAATGCAACCTAGGAGCAGATGTGTTCATGGTGACAGACTCTCCAATAGCATTCTCTAATGAAGGTATGAAATAAGGGAAATTGTATCAAATACTATTTTCAAAATGTATAAAGGTAATTCCCTTAAACTTCAATATACACCATAAGTGATTCATCAAAAACAGGGGTATTTATCTAATTATAAGAACAGTGAAAGAGACAGGAGATTATGATGCTATTTCTTGCCAGGTCTGACCCTATTTATAGCATCCAACTTTTGTTGTAGCATACACAGTGTTTCACATCTGTGAGTAGTACAGTGTCCAGTATTATGGAACAACCTTAAACTATAATTATTATCAACAGTCTGGAGCTCAGAAAATACATTCGTAATATACTATGCAAATATGGAGAACTCAAACTGGTAAGCTACCAATATGATCACTGAATTCAATGTTGTGGAGAACTTACTGTCATAATAAGTGTATTTACAGGCAAGGCATATGACCCAACATGATGACAGTGTACATGCAATAAGTGTGTTTATAGTCAAGGCAAGTTACCCATCATGATGACAATGTACATACAATTAAAACATAAACACTATACTAAACACACAATGATCAATCAGGATTTGAAATTCAACAGCCACAAGCTAATGAAAAGTGTCAAAGATAATATACATGGCTCATTATTGAGTCTGTGTGCCTCAGTAATAAATATATGCACATGAAAAGGTTCCAATTTCTAAAGGAACAGATAACATAGCACCAACAAGAGAAAACTGTCTTGTGAGATTGCAGATTATACAAGGAAAGTAAAGAAACTCAACTTCAATTTGCATAAAATAAAAGTACAGTAACAGCTTACCAATCTGTAAATGTTCTTACAAACAGAAATTTTGTTTTCCATTCTTGGCCATGACTATTATTTGGGTAATCAGAATAAGATTAGACAACCATGTAACTAGAGGCACAAAAGTTTCAACTAATAACTATGTACAAGGCTAAAAATATGGTTGCCTATAAAAAATGTTTTGGTATACTTTCAGCTTTCATCTAAATGTATTGACGAGTGAACCTCATAATTTATTCTTAGTTTATTTTGAAACAGAATCAATAGTTCAACCTACATAATGTAGAATTACTGGGGTTTTGGACCTTTTCCATTGTCCGGAATTTTAGGTAATAGAAGACACAGCGTTTTGGAAACTGGATCTGTTTCTGTCTTCAGGTGAGAAAGGAAGACGTACATGATGCTTTTAATATCTTTATAAAGTGCTTTTAAAAGCACCATTTATGTTTCCAAATCCTTGACTACACAATGAAACTATATTTTCTGAGTTTCCAGTGCACTTCCCATTCTTATACTGCAAATGAGTACCTTAAAAAATGTTATAAAGGTACTGTTGCTACTAGAAATTTGATATCAGAGAAAAATTAACATACATTTTATGGAGCATAAAGTGAATAGAAGAAAATGCCTTACTTACACAAAAACCATACCCTTAAATTTCATATAAATATATTAAAAGTACTCTAACTTTTGGATTTTTTTTTCAGAAAGTCTACCACTTGATTAATTGTGTAAAATAAATTGTGCTTCACTTAGATTTAATTTTCATTTATTTCTCAGCCCAGGAACATGCAAGTTACAATTCAGTCTTTATTGTTTTTACTGTCCCAACACAAATATCAAAATCTCATTCACATTTACTGTGTATAATGAGTTTACTGATCTTAATGGTATGGCAATGTGTAACATTTTTAACTCATCTGAGTATTTTACAACTTAAAAACTTTTATAATTTTTATATTGTTTTATTTTCTTATAGATGCCTTCATGTACATCTCTACATACACCCATATACATGCTCTTGGGCATGGTTGGCAATGTTGCTAAACTATTATTTTCATAAACACTGCACTCAAGACTTGGCATTTTTGACAATGATTGACCATTCATCATACTGCCAGAGACTTCTTGTCACTAACTATATACACACCCACATGCACATACCATACATGCATGTACGTGTGTTACAAATCAATTTTCTGAATCGACTATATCTTCATTTGTATTAGTGACTGAACTTATTTTTAGGTTTGGTCAGGCTCCAGAATACAATATTCAATGATAGGTTTTTTTTTTTCATTAAACATACATATTTGCTTATACAATCTGTAATACACAGAGTAGCCACATTTAATGCAACATAGAAAACTAATGAATCAGTAAGATAAAGGTGATCTTACCTAATTTCTCATCCTTCTTGGATTCTTGGCTGACAGCATTATCAGTGTGGTTTAGTGGTATCATCAGGTAGTGAGTAGCCTAGTAAACATGAAGCCTCATGTACAGAATTTCACCAAGCAAGGTCTTCCTTATTATTCTGATATCATGTAAGCTTGTTTGATTCACAGATTTTATGAAATGAAAGTCAGCATTTAGAACCATTTAGGAATTATATTATTTTAATCAAGAACATAAGGCTATAAATAGTCTGGTATATGATGATTCAGAAACATTTCCTTATGACCATCATACAGTTTGGACATTTCATGTGAATTGACAATAAACTTACTGCAAGTCAGGATTCACATCAGGTACTCCCATCAACAAAACTCTTCCTTGAGCTACAGCAGAGTAAGCAGTGGTAGCTATCACTTGTATGAAACTCAACAATGGCAGGTCACAATATATTCAACAGCCTCAAGATTGTATTAAGCTGGCTATTAAACAGAAAGGCTATCCTAGTAGCACAGACGAGAGAGCTTTTGAAGGAAAAAGAGGGTTTCTTGGTTGGGGAGGAAAGTAAACCCTCCCTAAATTCATGCAGTAGTTAGCATACTATGCGACCCCAGTCAACGAACTATTTAAGCTCTCACAAAATAAGACTGTTCTACTGAAGAACCCATATGACAGTTACATGGTTGCTGCAGTACTTCACATTGTAGCAATATTGATAAACAGCTCATGAGAAAATGCACAGAAATTAATTCATTCAAGATTATCCACTCACACACATACTGTTTGACACAACTGGAGGCTTAACCAGTGACAGTGGTAACCACTGCTTAACTCAGTATGTGATATTATTGCAGCCTTACTCATTCAGAGATGAAACCAAACCTGAACACACACTGAGCAGAAATAATTTCAGCAGCAGCATTTACTGATAAGATTCAGCCTAAGACTTGAGCTTGTTTCAGGATTAATATCTAGTGTTCACTGAAAGATGGGCCATCATAAGCTTGTAATTAGAAAGTAACAGGAGTGTCTGACTCTACAGGAAGGTATGCTGTATTGAATACCTTCCTACAGATTCTGACACTTCTGTTACTTTCTAACTACCAGCTTATGATGGCCCATCTTTCAATGAACACTAGCTATTAATCCTGAAACAAGCTCAAGTCTCAGGCTGAATCTTATCAGTAAATGCTGCTGCTGAAATTATTTCTGCTCAATGTGTGTTCAACTTTGGTTTCATCTCTGAATGAGTAAGGTTGCAATAATGTCACACACTCAGTTAACCTTTAAAGTACAGACTTTTAAATTGTTGGCAACCTGCTGCGGCCAGAATACAAGTGGCCCTAAGTCTTTAAATTTGCAGACTTTCAGAAAAAGAGAACTACATATTGCCATATGTTGTCTATGCAGTGAGACAGATAACGTCACATGGGCCTCGGATTTAGCGAATATTTACTGAACGCTCACATTTACACACTCAAGTATTGTTAGTATCACTTCAACTGCATTCTGTGGCAGCTATCTTCTAACTCTGGTCTTCTCTCAACAGCGACTATCTCAAGACTGACTCAGCGAATGCATTAACCCCCTTATATATCCGCAGCTGTTGCTATGAAATGAACCTTCTGTTGTCTTGGAAGTGTGTTACCTTGTACAATACCAGTAACATGTTTGGTTTCACAACGAACCTTCTCTCTCCAGGTAAAAGTGTTTGTTGCCCAAGGCATTCCCAGGCAACGGCATGTCTGGGATTTCGCTGCCGCTGAAATAACACGTTACAATATTTTCTGTTCTATTCAATATAGAAATATGAACTAGAAACAGCCTGAAAAACAAAATCTTCTACATATACACAAAAGAGCAATTTTTACAAATGAAAATGTACTGTGATTATTTTGTCATGAAATGCAAAATATCATCTTTATTATATATAGCGTGACGTATTTGCGCTAAGCAGGACGCCCCCTCCCCCGCTGCTACAGTGATGGGCCAGTCAGCACTCCGCCCCCTCTCCACGGCGACAACATTGACGTAGTGGGGGATACCACAGTTGCTACACAGCAGGAGATAACTCTCAACAGCGTTGCCCAGCAACACCTGTAAACAAGGCGACTAGGCAACAGGGAAGCGAGGCACTTTCTGTTGTCCGGCTGAGGGTTTATATGAGAACTGCACTGCCTAAGGAGTCAGTTAAAATACAGCAGCAGTCACGGAAAGAAGGCCCGAACACATGGTTAGAAGATCTACGTGATAGTGTGCGATAACTGAGAAGTCAGCCAGTGAAGACTTATTGTGTGACTTCAAGATTTTGTGTGTGCCGTAGAACAGTTATATTGGGAGTGTGTAATTCACAGAGACTTGTATAGCTCCCGTGTTATAAATACGTGAAGACTACTGAAGACAGAGTGAATAGTTTATTGTGCAGGGTTTACAAATTGTGTAAACCCGCAGCTGCGTTATAATTAATTGTAGTTACAATTTGTAGGTTAAATAAACAAATTAACAATCCATACGGCGTCTTCAGTGGCAAAACACATTACATTTGGTGTCAGAAATTCCAAAGGGCTTACCTGTAGTTTTTTCTTAAACTTCAGACATGTTGAGTTTTTAAAACAATCACACTATATATAAACTTTTATTCAAACTGTACGGGAACATGGACTGCGTCACTTCACGGTTTATGACAACTTTCAGTGCCCACACTCTGACGTGCGTGCACCACTTCTTGAAGCAGTCTTTAACACACACAGACCAACATCACAATTTTACAGTAGAAGAGCGTGCTCCTGGTTTTCTTATTTAGCGAACACACACAACAACTTTGTTTCCCTTTGGATGGCCAGTGTTGCAAATGTTTCACCTCTAGTCGACTCAGTTGGGCCCCAGATGAGTTTGGCCTCCCCAAGAAACGCCACTGACCGTGATATTCACCTCATGTGACTGTACAATCAAATATCGCACTATGATTTTGCAGAATTTTTTGTGTCATTTTTCCACCACGACTTGTGCAATGAACAGGCATTGAGAACTGTCATGTCTATTAGGTGGAAAAAGAATTTCTTCGTCCATTTCCATGTCCTCCAGGCAATTCCATAACTGTTTACCATCCTATCAGATTTATCCACAAACCCATATGTGCACTGTCATCTTCAATGGCTTTATACCTCTACCGAAACACAAAATAAAAATACTTTATAAATAAATAATTGACAATCCAACATTGACTTTCTGACTGATAATTCAGTACTGAAAACCAATCCCTGAGAATGACCCACTTCCATGCAAGCCTGGATAGCACTAATCTGCATGCACAGATGAATATTTAATTCTCAGTTCTCAAAACAAAGCTGTCCTCTATTTGGCTGACCTGGTCATAAACAGTCATATTGAAATGTAAACCACACTGAAACCAGTATCGCAATAAACGATTTCATTGTTCAGAGCTAATGAATGAACCATCGACTTGACTTTGTGTGGGTTTATTGTGGTTTCAATGGAAGATCAAACTGTCAGGACTCCCAAAGAGAGCGTGTGTACTGCTAGATAAATCTAACATTCAGTCACAGTGGAATGTTACTTGCTGTTAGATATATCTAACATTCATATGTTAAAGGCTAAGCATGGTTACCACTATCGCTAGATAAGCCTCTACTTTATGTAAGTGAGTGGATAATCTTGAATGAATTTATTTCTGTGGCATTTGTTAGAATTTATACTACTGCATGCCTCAGACAGAAACAAAATCATTTAAGAACAGTAACATAAGACCAGTATATACAGTATGTTTTCACATGACAAACTTGACAGTAAAGGAGTAAGACGTAGAAAAGTACATTCTGAAAGAAATAAACCGCAAATGTATATGGGGTGAACAGGAGGCAATTCAGATACAAGGAAAATCTTCATAACATACAGCACAATAAGGAGAACTCAAAATATGCAAAACATACTGTAAATGCATGCATAAAGTAAAATGGTCACAATAAAATATTGAAAATAATGCCACTGGCATGTCTCATGGACACATGGAAACGGTATTACATACATGAACAATAAAGATAAAATAGAAATTAGAAAGAAGTATATAAATCAAAGCTACAAATTATTTGAATGTTCATTAATAAGGCTGTATTTTTTACATTCACAAGTAGAAATAAGTAACCTCTCATTCAGTGCAGTATTAGAAAGGAAGAGAGCAGAACAGACACTTTGGACAACCACCTGCAAGGACACTGCAAAAGAATGAGTGGAAATTAACAGTACTGCATATAATCTAAGTGTATTTAAACAAATTTATCACCTATCTAATGGTTAATAGAGTAATATGAACAAAGTTAGAACAACAGTATGTTTAGTAGTAGTTATCATTGTGGGTGGATTGGTTTCATATAATGTCAAAGAAAATTACACTATCAATATCCCAGGGTCACAATTACAAGCACAGTAGGCATCCAAAAACTTAATAAACGAGATCACTCTACTGAGTCACTTCTGGGCAAGAAATCTGTTGAAAGAAATGCTGTGTGCTTATTATAGAGAAAGTGGATAAAATAGGAACAAGGTCAGAACACATATTTTTTTGATCTTACCATGCATGATTTTTACATGTGTATATGTACAGATGTATTATTTGTACTTCCATATGGAAGAAGAGTTGGAGGAGAACATGCAGATAATTTAAAAGAATTACTCATGAAGACCTTCCTGTCAACCTCAACCTGCTTAAACTACTTTCACATAATGCATGTGCATATACAGGGACAGTATTTTCAGCATTCCTTACGAACAGGACAAAGTCCTTTTATTATTCTTGGGGAATGCTTCTAGATTCATATTAAGATTAACTGATAGAACTCAACCGAACATAGGCTGTCACAAAGTCTCAAAAGATGAAATCTGAAACCGCAGACCTTTAAAATAAAGACAGAGAAGAAAACATTTATGTAACTGAAACTATTACAGAACAGGCCTTCAAGGCCTTTTCAAAATAAAAAGTTTGCAGTGTCCACAGACATACATTACTTCACTACATGCAATGAAATTATCACCTGAGATTCCATTTAGGGGAAGGTGGGACAGAATCTGGATTCAAGCAAATCTTACCTAGTGGGAATTTAATGGATTAAAACCACTGAAAGTGAACATTTATGAAGGAAAACTTTAAATAAAGAAACACTAAAAGAGGGTCTGTAAATCACTAAAACTCTCGTACAGTAATTACTTTCAGTATATAGTGCTGTCATGCACTGGCACACATTAAACCTCTCGAATCCAAAGTCAAGCAAACATTGACATGGCAATCTGATGTGGGCAAGACTGGATTAACGACAAAGAGTTATGGATATGTCGACTCATCAAATAATATGCATATGTAACAGAATCTAGGTTTACACACACACATACAAGACAGGCTTAAAAAAAGACCTTTCACAGAAAATTCCTTTATCGCCAACATGGTCTTCTCAGTGAAAGGAGCTACCACCACATAAAGGAAAAAGTTTTTCATATACACTCTTACAGTATGCATATAAAATGAATCACAACATAATGCCAGCATTATTTCAAATTTTGACAAGAGGTATATTTGAGGGTTTGCAAATTTTGTTGTGCGTAAGAGATATGTATACATTTTCAATTTATAAAAATAAACCTGCATAATTCTTGGAATGCAAATGTGATTCCGATAAACACCAAACCCAAAAAAGTAGCAACCAAATGACAGAATATCACACAACTCCTTTTAAGTGCCTTGTCTGTAACTGAAGTGATACTGCTGATAAACATTAACCCATGAATTAAAAAGAAGCCATCACTTACAATATCAAACATCTTTCCTCAGCGGGAAGTCACTTAAATCTTTCCTGATACACATGGACTATCTGTTCTCCACAACTGACTAGTTCACTTACACTTTGTTAGATGAAAATATACTCTCAATCAATGAGATCTCACAGCAAAAGAACATTCCTACTGGTTTGTTCCGTTCTTACTCAGTTTCAACCAACTCTTTTACTGTTATGATTCTCTACAAGACTGTGATAATGGCTAATCAATTATATCAATATTGTGTTGTCCACTGTGTAAAGCTCATTTGTTATACACAACATTTTGGGAATTTGCTCTTCTCCTATTTCCTCATGACTGGCTGTCACTATACTGACAGATTTGTTCTTTGAAGAAAGTACAAGATTAGTGGCAAGTTGAAATTAAACCCAGAGAGTCCAGTTGTTAGAGCACTAGTCCAGTATTCAAAGGGTCCCAGATTTTATCCAAACCAGCATAACTAATCTTAAAAATATAACAATAAAATATCTGTCAGTATAATAACAACCATCTAGATCAGTGGTCTCAACATTTTCTGAAGTTAAAGATTTAATGTAGCAAAAGCAAACTGTATAATAATGTCAATAGAAAATAATATCACTTTCATTATACATGGGTTACTTCAGAAGTCATGGCAACATCATTTTTCTGAAATTTCAAAAGCTCCAACTGGAATTTCCAAATTTGCCGCTAAGAGACAGCAACATCTGATTTCTAATGATGCTGCTAGATGATGCAGAAGTCCAAGGACAATGAAGCGAGTCCAGCGCGAAGTCAGTGTGATTATAAACTTCGTCAAGAATGAACATTAGCCAGCTGGAACAGCATTGTTACGTGAAAATAGCAGTGCTTCGCAGCAGAAATGCGACTGAATGTCACTCGGAGCTTGTGGAAGCTCTAGGAGATCGTGCTCTACCATACAGTACTGTTGCAAGGTGGATAGAAGCATTCCAATGTGGAAGAGAAGCAAATGCCGACTTGCAATGTAGTGGACCGCCCACACAGCAAACAGTGTCAAGAACCATTTACAACGTTGGGGAGGGGAAGTACTACACTGTCCTCCATGTTCACCCGACCTTTTGCCATATGACTATGACTTAATACCCAAATTGAAACAGCCATTGTGAGGGAAATGCTTTCGAACATGAAAGGACATTTCCAATGCAGTTTGGTGTGAGATGAAAAGATTTGGAGATGGTGAAGCTGATGGTATTCGCCATATTCGTCACTGGCAGCGAGTACTTGATACACTTGGACACTACTTTGAAGGTTGCTAGTTGTAATGTAAGAATTCAGATTTAACTCACATTGAAACTTTTATTTCTTAATCACAATTGAATTTTTCGAGGATTAAAGATTGCAATTTTTCTTGCCTACTATACCTATGCCCCTTCACATCTACCTGATCTGACTAAGCCAATTGGAGGGGTATATTTCGTAAGTATATTTTGAACCTTCTTCACTGTAACATGTTTGCCCCTAAAAATTAGTTGCCATGACCTTTGAAGTAACCCACATATGTGTAACTCCTCTTTGTTGTATTGCTATAAACATCTGGTACTCTCAGGACATGGATATACAGCAATGAAAATAGTGCTGTTCAATATGCTAACTGCAAAGAGCTTACATAATGATATTTGAAATATTCAGTATTCCCAATGATTAACTTTTCAAAATATAAAGACAGTTCAATTTCCATAATGTAATAAGAGAGTGTTACATTAGTTAAACAAGATAGGAGAGTGTTACATTAGTTAAACAAGAAAGAAAGTCCCTACACTGTTAGGTTCAATACTTTACTGCTAAAGCCACTGCTTCAACAATAACTGCCTAGTCCATGGTTAAACAACTGTACTTTTAGTTACATATAAAAATGTAGGTCTTTTATTTCCAAGCTTCAATAAACTCTCTTCTTCATGAATCATACAATGTGTAATTCTGAACCACAAATCAGAGACCACTGATGTAGATGTTTATATGGTTTAACTGATTTAAAATATATCAAAAGTAATGGAATTGGGAAATACAGAAATATCTACAGTTCATATGAAAGTAAGCTGTTACAAATCAGCCATGCAAGCAAGGGGAGAAACTGCTTCTACAACAACTGTTCAATCTTTGGATATCCAACTGGAAGAGAATACCACAGCTGGCTCCTGGCTTATTTTGATGTTAACAGGCTTATGAGGGGAGGGCAATTTCCTGCTATGCTATAAGCATTCTAACTACTGAGGCAAAGTTGACTGCATCAGTTTTGACTATGGGACCAGTGGAGACAGGAAGGTACAGCTACAGTGCTTCTTTCTGGACACAGTTGCTTTATGAAATTTAGATTTGCAGAACAGCCTCAGATTTGCTTTATGTGGAACCACAGACTGATTTCCAATTATTCCACCACTTGGGCTCTAAATTGTTCCAACTGTAGTTCTAATGATGCTCTTTCTTCTTGAACTTCAGCTAACTCTTGGTTTAATTCTTGACAGACTCTGATGAGGAGAGTATTCTGTTCTTGTAGCCGACGAAATGAACTCTGTTCACTACATCTGTGAAATGGATAAAAACAATCCTTTGTACCAGTACTGTAAATGTAAGGTAAAGTTGTCCCTGTGCTTAACTAATTAAGCATTATGCCACAAAGATGTATGGGGGAGTGACACATATAGAGCCACATTTTCTTGACCTCGGCACTAGACGGAGGTGAGCGGTCAGCCTCATGACCCGGCCACTTTACTCCCAGAGAAAGAGTCCATGGTACCCACCAGATAGGAGGCTAGGTGTGCCCCAGAGCTGGTCTGGACGACATGGAGAAAAGAAAATTCTTGACCCCTTGGTCGTCCAGCCCATAGCCAGTTGCTAAACCAACTACACTATTCTGGCTCCAGTACTAGTACTGTACTATGAAAAATAATATTTTAAAGATATCTCAATAAGTGAAACCAATTTGAAGTTAGTTCTAATACCTATTCCACATTATATCTTCCATCATATGAGATACAACTACAAACTGTGATGTGACACCCGTAAAGCTGGAATAGTTCATTGATAGGCAATGGCAGTAAACAGGTTCCCACAGAAATACGATGGGGTACCCAAAAGAAACAGAACTAATTTTTTTGTGGGCAGAGCTTTTGTAGTACTGCATTTTGCCACTATGAGCGCATAGAGCTAACATTCCTGAGTCAATAAGCCGACTATCATTGCTTCAGAAGGTAAGGACTAGTTTCGGCAGAGTTTATAGTGACAACTGTTTTGTGTGATCATCGTTTTTGCAATGGCTGATCTTTGTGAACAGCGTGCGGCGGTGAAATTCTGCTTTTTGCTCGGGAAAAGTGGAACAGAAACTCTTGAAATGTTAAAAACGGCGTACAAGGATGATGCTATGGGGAAAACTCAAGTGTTTGAGTGGTTTTCCCGTCTCAAAAATGGTGAAATGTCAATTGATGACAAACCTCGTTCTGGTTGTCCTTCCACGGCCCAAACACATGAAAATGTTGAAAAAATTCGTGAAATCATCAAGGAAGATCGACGACGGACCATTGAAGAAATTGTGGAGCTGTCGGGAGTGACTTGGAGCTCAGTTCAGCGAATTTTGACAGAAGATTTGGGAATGAAAAGGGTGGCTGCAAAATTCGTGCCACGACTGCTGACTGCTGAACAAAAACAAGGTCGCGTGGAAGCATGCTGTGCTTTGAAATAAGAGTCCTGAAATGAACAAAACTTTTTTTCAAAAATTATCACTGGTGACAAAACCGGGTGCTATGCTTACGATCCTGAATCAAAGCAACAATCAAGCCAGTGGAAGACTTCAAGTTCGCCTCGCCCCAAGAAAGCTCGTCAGGTGAAATCAAACATGAAAACAATGCTGATTTGTTTTTCCGATGTGAGAGGAGTCGTCCATTCAGAGTTTGTTCCGCAGGGTCAGACAGTTAACCAGGCTTTCTACTTGGAAGTTTTGAAAAGATTGCGCAACAGTTTGCGGCGGAAGCGACCAGATTTGTGGCAGTCAGGTGACTGGTTTTTCCATCATGACAATGCCCCTGCTCACACAGCCCTGTCTGTACAACAATTCTTGACCAAAAATGGTATGACCCCTGTTCCTCACCCTCCATACTCACCCGACCTTGCCCCGTGCGACTTTTTTTTGTTTCCTCGAATGAAAAGAGACATGAAAGGAAAGCGTTTTTCTGATGTTGCTGAGGTGAAGGAAAAAACGACGGAGGCGCTGTCAAGCATCTCAAAAGATGAATTTAGACAATGTTTTGAAAAATGGAATAAAAGACTAGACAAGTGTATTAGTTTAAGTGCAGAGTACTTTGAAGGAGATTGAAGGTTTGTGCTTAAAATTTGAATAAATAAGTTTTAAAAAAAATAAGTTCAGTTTCTTTTGGGTACCCCCTCGTATACACACACACACACACAACAATAGAAGAACTCCTGTTTCTAGGCAACGGCAAGGTAAACACACCTCTGTAAAAATACAGGAATTGTTAGGAAATGATGTTCTCTATGTGGTTTGTGCTGAGACATGATAAACGGGATAGTTTGAAGCAATGAGTGAGTGCGAAATATACACGAAAGGCCAAGTGTATTCATAAGAGACAAACCTATCTTCTCCTCAAAGAGGATGTTACATAAGGACTATTACCACAAGAGTTCAGTTGGAAAAAAAAAAAAAACTCTGGTCATGTGCCTCAAAGGGCCTCATGCCAAGATAAACTGATTGGCAGTAAACCGCCAGTCGTAAAGCGACTCTGACTTTGACAATGAGGGAGTTGTTGTCAGAAATGGAGAAGTCTCTTGAGATGGCAGCTGAATGACTGAGAACAGATGGCAAGAAAGGAATTAGGCTATGCAAAGAAAGACTTCATGTGTGCTGTAGTTACAGGGAGAGGAGTACAATTCCTGTGTTGAAATCCATTGCCAGGATACAACTAGTGAAGACTGAGGACACTAGCATGTGTAATGGTGAACTGTAAAGTGTGTAGGTCAGTGATTTTTCTCTAATTAATTGTAGTTCTGAGTGATGTGTAGGTGTCAATAAATCCAATCCAAAACCTGTTAACAGTCATAACCCCTAAATATGTGACCATACACTCTCATGGCTGTCCACTTAGCAAAATTTTAAGTATGCACACATGCCCCTCATATAAAGCAGGTTGGAAATTTTCAGTACACAGGAACTGTCTTACAAGGAATATCTGTAAAATACTATAAGCCACACTCTCAACAGCTTATACTTACTTGGCTAATAGCTAAAAATAAATTGTCTTAGTTAAACAGATTCACATCATATGTAACTTACCATGACCTTATACAGGGAGATCAAGAAGTTGCGCACATCACACTAAGCAATTATATTTTGTTGGTTTAATGCACAAACAGCACTTGCTATTAATGTTTCTAACCTTACATCTTAGAAATGCAAAATCAAACCATGTCTTTAAACATGTGCTCAAAATGGCTTCCCTGTTCAGCAATGCATGCGCGAGCTCTTTTTACCATGCTGAGGCCACTTTGTGGAGCACCTGTAAACTGATGCTGTTAATCGCTGTCGTACTGTTCCTCTTGAGGTCATCCAGTGTATGCAGACTGTTTTTATAGACAATTTCCTTGAGGTCCCTCCAAAGGAAAAAATCTGCAGATGACAAATTTGGAGAACACCGGGGCCACAATCCTTTCAAAATGAGACAGTCACCGAAAAACTCGCACAAGAACTGCATGGTTTCATTAGATGTGACATATGGCACCATCTTGCTGCAACCAACATTCACGTTCATCAACTTCAAGAAGCGTAATAAAAGTGTGCAATGATGTCTTGGTACACTGGACTGTTCACTGTTGTTTCATAGAAAATTGGGCTCACTATTAGACGACGTGATACAGCACACCACGCTCCAATTTTCTGGCTTTCCATGTAACACATGTGGATTTTCAGATGACCATATCCTATTGTTTTGACTGTTCACGTAGCCACTAAGGTGAAACCATGCTTCATCAGTGAAGAAAACACAATGAAAATAATGTTCCACAATGAAAACTCGTTCTTGGGAAAACGACATGTCTGTCACGCAATAAACAAAGCTATACTGCAGATGTCATATGACCGATACATGACAGATGGCATTTCTACTCGCTGTTAGTGCTTATACAGTACCATCTAGCAGTAGGAGATATAATTACATTAACTGCAATACAATTTATAACAACTTTTAGTTTGATGTGCGCAACTTTTCAATCTCCCTGTATAAAGTCTTATCAAGTCTTCTATCAGCTGCAGCCACAGAACACAGGCATAATGCTCCTACAAATATTGGGATGATGAAGAGAAAAAACTTACCATACTAATGCCATAATCACCTTTCTGAGAAAAATGAGACTCCTCTCAACTAGGTAAAAACTGTACAACTAAATCATTCACCTTTTTTCCTTTCATTTGCATGTAACATGCAGGTGCCTTCCCCTATTATATATTTATGTGCTCATTTCAAAACAAGAGATAGATAAAGCCTACTTTAGGCCACACCATAGCTCAAGTGATTAGTTGCTGCCTTCCCACCACGGTGGCCCAGGTTCGATCCCGGGTCTGGTCAAGTGGGATTTGTGGTGGACAAAGTGGTGCTGAGGAGGGTTTTCTCTGAGTACTTTGGTTTCCCCTGCCAATTTTCATTCCACCAAATTCTCCATCATCATAATCACCTGGGGTAGGTACAACAGGTCAATCGGTGGCCACCGTGCCATGTGGACCCAGCTGGACTCCACCCCTCACTATGTGAATTAAAAAAAAAACGTTTAAACCTACTTTCTTATTGCATAGACTTCTAAATCTACAAATCCTGAGTTCTTACTGTTGTGTTTAAATAACAATAAAGTAAAATTTGCCAGGATGATGTATAGCCCGGGTATTTAAAAGTGACAGTCCTCCGACGCGGAGTAGGAGAAGTACTGGTAGTGGCGGGGAGAGCTCCAGCATGCTGACAAGTGTGGAGGGGAATGCAACACAGGCGTTCTCAAAAGGAAATAAATTCTTACCTCATTGTGTTGCATAGTGTTGGTGGTTTAGTCTCGACACAGACTCATTAAAGTTGTCCAAAGTGGCTAGTGGATATTTCGTAGGTCGAAAAGGAAGTGGAAGCCCCAGATTCGATATTTTTTTGTTTCTCTTAATATTCTTCTGATACTACTTTCCGATACACCTGTTGCCTTTGCTACTTCCACTCCTATGTTTTTCACTGTAATTGCTGGCCCAGCCTCTTTCATATACTTATACACATTACTAACAATTTCTCTTGACTGTGAATGCGACACTTTTCCACTCAAATTACTTTGTGTAGGTGACATGTTAAAGGAGATAGAAAAATGTACAGATACAAATAAACAAAAAATAAAATCAATGAATAAAAATAAATAATAAAATAAAATATTAATACAGTAAATAGAGAATAATACACTCAAATACGACTCCAAGAGTAAAAAATTTTTAACTTGACTGTACCAGGAAGAATGCTTTTAACTGAACTTGAGACGTCTGCTCGCACTGAAAACAAACGAATGACTAATCACAACACCCCTCAACTTTCACGAATGGACCTGCCCATCCACTATGCAGCTTTTCCTGGACTGTCACTTCTAAATACCTGGGTTGTACAGATGGATACAGAATCAAATCCCACTAAAATTACAAATTTTTTATTACTTGCAACTGTGATGTACGGAAGACCTTCACATTACTCAAGCATTTGTTCCTCTAAACCTCTGTATTGTCCTTGTTTTGACCCTCAAATTGTGCTTAGCACAGAATTGGCACATTTTAATCATCCTTTCAATTTTCTGCAGCAATGGGCCTTTACTATGGAAAACAGAATTTTCCAGTGACACCACAATTGTTGGTTTCTTCCATATACTTCACAACTATTTATTTAAAGTGTGTGTTATAGTCATATCATGTCACTTTCCATACACAACACTGTAATACTTCTCTTTTCAACGTATCTCCCATAATTTACACCACAGTATTCTACTTTTTGCTCTTATAGAAATAAATATGGATGTAACATGTACAGACATTGAAACTTTTACCACCACACAGTCAATGTTCCCCACTACTGCCTAATGCAGCAGTGGTTTCTTCAATTAGGCTTCCTTGAACTTTAAATGAAAAGACAGAAAATGCCACAAAACAATCGTATTACCCACCCTAGAAGCTGAGTTCTACTGGTGACATAAGATCATTCAATCCAATTTAGTATTTTATGAGTATATGACTGTAATATGATCCTTCTTTTTCAGATGTCCTAGTACAAAAAACCCAATCTCTTATACAGGTAAATATGGTATACTGTAAAATGATCCTTCTTTTTCAGATGTCCAAGTACAAAAAACCAAATCTCTTAGTCAGGTAAATATGGTATATTGTAGAAAAAATTACCACAAAAATTGTGTACTTCTTGAAGAACTGTTAGCATACATTGTTTCAAGACAGAGTATTAAATATCAGTCCCACCTCACAAGTTAAGCGCACACAATGTCATGAATACTGTCCAAGGAAATTAAAGCATGTGAGGCCGAGGTGGCCCCAAGTGGAGTAACGTTCAATTTCATGAAAACCGGTCAGCTGGTTAAAAAATTTAAGGGGGGGGGACAATGAGCAAGCATGGTGATCTTCTAAAGTAGCCCCCCCCAAAAAAAAACTCTTGTTCAATTATTGTTCTGAATATCCATTCCCTTAATCACAATTTGCTTTATCTTGAGTGTTTAATTTGAAGCAACCATTAATCTTATATTTGAAGTTATTTAAAAACATGAGAATCTCTCCTTACCTTCCTTCAAAGCGATGTCTAAGCTGCTGTGATTCTTCTGTTGGACTTTCAAGATCCTGCATCCCTACACCAACATCTGGCACACCAGCCCCTAATACAACAAAATATACGGAGAATGCTATAATGAACTTAAGTCACATACTTTCAGCAACAAAATGTCATTGTGTATGTAAGACCATTACTTATGAGAAGATAAAATTACTGCACTTTGACAAATCTCTAATAGACTAGGAGAATAAAAAATTTTCTTTCTAAATTACCAAGGAAATCAACCGGTAAAAAGCCTCGATGAATCATGGTTTATACTGTCATGTGCAAGGAGTGTGACTATAGAAGGGGTTTGGAATGGTAATCAGATTTATTTATCATTTATACACACAACTCATAACTACAAGTAACTACAGCGCTACATACTGAATTCTGTGATCATATTGGTAATTCACTAATTTGAGTTCTCCAAATTTGTGTAGTACATTACTAATGTATTTGCTGAGCTCCAGACTGTTAATACTAATTATAATTGTAGGATGTTCCACAATATGGAACACTGTGCATGCTACAACAAAAGTTTGATGCTATAAATAGGGACAGACCTGGCAAGAAATAGCATCATTACCTCCTGTCCCTTTCACTGTTTTATAATTAGATAAATACCCCTGTTTTTGATGAATCACTTATGGTATGTACTGGAGTTTAAGGGAATTACCTTAAACATTTTGAAAATAGTATTGGATACAGTTTCCCTTACTTCATACCTTCATTAGATAATGCTACTGCAGAGTCTGTCACCATGAACACATCTGCTCCTAGGTTGCATTTTATCAAAATTACATCACTGACATTATAAGGAATGAACGGTACATGTCCTGTGCTCTTTTCTAAGTACACCACATACAAAAAAAATGTGGAAAACATTTTGCTGGAAGAAAGAATTTCTGCATTAAATGGTACATAGCATGAAGATCTTTTTCCACCTTGAATCTAAATAAATATTTTTGTAGCTACCTGGATTAACTTAAGTTGATCATTCCAGACTGACATACATGTGGTTAAAATGATTTATCAAGCCAGTATCTGTTAATGGTTTTAAAAATTTGTTGATTGTGATAACATTTTTATTGACTGTTATGTATTAAATATAAGGTAAGTTTGAATCAAGTTACGTAGCAAACTGTCCTGCTGCACCAGAGAACTGGTATTAACTCTTTGACCATCCCACCTTGGAAATTAAAGCCTAATATAGACACTGCCTCACGTGGATAACACTGGTAAAATTCCCCTCTTCCTTTTGACAGCACCTGTGTAGCCCATGACATTTACACGCTTTGTCATATTTTGACAAAGAAATGAGAGAATTTGAATGATTCTTTAGGTCACTAGGATTAGTTTGCAAAAAAATACTCTGCAGTCAAACGATTAAATTGGGCATGAAGTTATAAACGAAAAATCTTTGGATTTGTGTGTTAATAATGTAAATTAAAATATGATTACGAGTATTTTGTATAATATCAGGATCTCATTTCATGTTAACTGCAGTAGGAGGTTTGCTAATTGAAGCAGGTGAGATGTGTAAACGTAAAAATAAGGGATGTTTGACGTGTCATATATTTAATATTTTTAGTGCCCTAAGTTGTATTTATATTATAATTGCTAAATGTGTCAATTGTATCACAGTTTTATATATATATATA